GTTCGAAACTTTTGTCCCACGCTGTACACACACTTGTGAACGTACTTTCAACTTTCGCGAGTCACAATGTAACGCGTTGTACGTGTCGCAATTAACAGGGATGTAAGAAACGAGCGTGAACGTGGACTTTTCATAATTACGTCACTACATCTTCTGACCTTTGCCATCTGCCTACCGGCTAAAAGCCATTGCCAGGTGCAATAAAGTAGCTTTATCTCAACCAGCTGTAATCCAAATGGCACTAGAGGTTTTGAATTTCATTGGGCAAAATGGTGGCTGGAGAGGGCAGAAGTGGCACGCTTACCTCGGCAATGGTCCAGGTTACAAAGTCTATATGAGACGCTTCAACGTGAGAATCGTTTTATAGGTTATAGGTTATAGAATCGTAAATCGCGATAAGAACAAGGACGATCTTCCGTTTGTATTCGAGATATTAACTCGTCCATGGCCGCTGACGTCACTTCAAAAGCCACTTTTGCTTGCCACCGAACTTGTCATTTTGTCACATTGATCAAATTGCAATATCCTTTAAATTATAAAAATCTGGATGGGATACATACAGTGAAAGGAGTGACGAAATTGAGGCAATTTTAAAATTAGTTTATTTCACGAAACGAAAAAAGACGAGCTGCCACAAATATGTCAACAATGTACTTTGTTCTATTAAGAATGAACAAAATACAATTTTTACCACATATGACCAAGCGATCAGTAACTACGAAGCTCTAAAAAGTAAAAAGATGAAAGTAATAAATATAAGTATTAAATACAAAAAATAATTTATAACGTACGAATATCGATAATCAGATATATTATATTAGACCGTTTATTATAATGTTAACGTGAATTAACAAATAGCCAAAATGGATTATTCGCCAAGCGTTCAAATATTGGCAGAACGTTCATTTTACGCAAATTCGTATTATTACGAATCTAATTTAAAAAAAAATGTAATCCGAGTGAGGAGTTATTTTAATTGTTAAATATTCTAGCGAGTGTTACGTACACGTAGTAGGAATAATATTTTTGCACCTCTAAATTCTGCATAAATGCACGATAATCAGCAGTCTAGTAATAACTATTGAGCATTCGTCCATACTTGATTCGAGCACGAATATTCGCTCACATTCACCGCGAGCATAGCTCGATATTATCATTTAAACGAGCACGAATTTTGTGGAAATGGCGGATGAACGAGCACTTGTTCGTCTAGTTTAAACGTGCCCTAAGAAGTAACAAATGAAATATAAAGAAATGGGTGGCATGTACGTGTAAAGAGAAATTTAAATTAGAATATTGTATATGAAAATATGAAAATATGAAAATCCTGTCAGACGTGGTGCTCTGGTCTTCGAACAGAGAAATGTAGCAAAGTTGCTTTCCTTGATTTCTTTCTTTTAAAAGTCCCGAGTCAGTGGGACGATGTCTCAAAATGTATCTTTACTGTAGATACTCGTTCATACAATGTTCTCTTTTCTTAAACTTCGAAGAATGTCAGAATAATGTTTAAGTTTTCTGTGTAATTCAACAGATATTCTTGTTATTTGACAAATACGAGAAATATTTGTATCTCTGAGTTGATTCGAGAAAATAATGTATTGTAGCTAACAAAATATAGAAACGCGTATAAAATTAAGACGAGAAAGTCAATTTCCTTTCATAATTTTATCATTTGGAACATATGAATTCATAACAATATACGAATTCCAAAGAAAACTTTGCTTATATTAAATATAATTCAGATTCTTCATGCTTCCAACTCGAGGACTTCTCATTATTTATCACTTTTGGAAGCGAATGTGTCAGGCATAGATTATAAAAATTCTGCGGAATATCAGATTATAAATTATTTGTGTTTACGAAAGATGGATCGTATTTAAATTACATATTTACGATAATTATTATAAACGCGGGCTGCGAGAATCAACAAAATTTGAATCTCAAGCGTAAATAGTCGAATAATTAAATTAATTTAAGTAATAATACACAACGTGTCAGTGTATTAGCGATATAATACATTACTTTAAAGTAACAAATATCATTTGCTACTGATTATTTCCACAAACAAAGTGGAAAACTTAATTTGAATTTTCTTAAATAATTTCCAAAGATCTAAAATTATTCCGAAGATCTACATATTTGTTAATTCAATTTTAATTAATGAAATTATTCAGTTCGCAATTTCCTGATACCTAAGAAATAACAAGGTCGATAATAACGTTGCTATACTTCTTGTTAATCGAAAACGATCGAATTCTATTAATCGGAAAATACGATTCGCTGGTAAAACACAGATAAAGCAGTTAAGTAAAACTTGAGTAACCGGGATTATATTTCGTAGAACGTGACCTACTACTTCTATCTACGACATCGTAGTTTGTAGTATTTGTTTCAACTTCATCGTACTTCTCGAAAGAAGCTTTTAAACTGCATCCTTTTGCTTCAATATTTACATAACCACGATGTAGCACGTAATCTCTTTAACATAATGATGTTCTTTGTCCAACGCGACATGTATAGTACGTGTAATGCATACGTTTCTTGTATGTATTCCGTTTGATGTAAGAGATTTTCGAATTGATGTGAATTCAGTGAAATAAATGTAAAATAATATTCCTTTAATCAGTGTATCTTCTGATCAACTTTTGACTGTACAATACAATTTTTTACTATTTTTTAAGGTATATACTTGATTATATATTTTGTTGTTTCAAAGAATATTAAGAATGTTCATAATATAGTACGGGATATTAAAAAGTTCAAAATGCATAAAATATTCAAATTGGAATATTGATTATAATATTTGATAGATGAAACGAATTTCCATCTCTTTAAATTGATTCATAAAAATATGAAACTGCATAAATATAGCATTGACGTAGTTTCACAAAGTATCAAATGAAAATCACTTATAATTTCTTATTTTACTTTTAATAGTATTTTTAAAATTTTTAGATAACTTACATTTTGTAACTCTGCAATTTACTCTTAATATTTACTTTCGAATGGTCCAAATATCTATTTCCATTACGATTTTGTATAAAACGCCAGTTACTTTATTAATATACATAATAATTAACATTAATATTGTGATTCATATTGATTGCAATTGATCCCTCCAATGATCCAAATAGCTAGCTTTATAAAAAGCGATATACAAATTACGACTCATTCATATATTTGATACAATAATGAATATATTTGACATTTAACGTAATGTTTCAAATACACATATTTCTCAATATCTTGACAATAATCATTACTTACAAATAACGTGCATGCAACGTGCATGGGGAAAAGCATCCCTTCAAAAAAAAAAAAAAAAAAAAGAAAGAAAGAAAAAGAAAAGAAAAAACAGAAAAAGATGAGCGAAACGAAAAGAAAATATTTCGTGATTGGTGTACATAAGGCCAGGTCGTTTGCTTTCAAAGTGGTTCGCATCGGAACGAACAAAAAAGTGAAACGTCGGTGATGTTTCAGGTGATTGGTTGCACGTCAATTTAAAAACACCCTCCCTCTCCCTCCCTTGTCGATAATTCATCGATGAAGGCACAAATGGCACAAGAGGAATCGTTCTCGTACAGAGTGTTGCAAATCTCGATCGAGCAATTAACGAGACCGAAGATGATACACACAGAGTAAGAATGCGCTCTGTTCGTTGTTGTGTTCCCATTTCTACGGATAATGCGATATCGACCAAATATCGAGTTGGCAAGAACGAAACACGACCGACTAACGA